AACCTTATTATTAATGCACATTAAAAGCTTAAACCTTATTATTAATGTATACTAAAATAAATTTTAAACTTACAAATGATTCCAAAAACTATTAGTTTCTTTATGCAATGAATAATCTTTGCCTTGTTTTAATGCAATGACTTGTTGCATTTGATCCTCTGTTCGAATCATTTTTTGACTTACTAGTAAATTAATAACATTTAATTTATCCTTTTCTACAAGGCAAGTATGACAAGGGCGTGCACATTTTGTTCCACTATAAGTTAAGCATGATTTGCAATTTTCAGGCCAGTCTCTAATAATACTTGCTAGCATCATATTACATCTTAAATTACAATCATTAACATTTAATAATACTCCAAAATTATACTGTAAACGTAATGGTTCAATTAATATATTAATACATTTGTGAAAGGTTGTTTGAATCTTTTGTCTAAATTCTGGTATATTTCGCTCTTTCTTAGTTCCTTGTAATGTTGGTATTATACCAACAAGTGCCTTAGCTTCAGGTTTATTACGAAATTTTGTTAGAATATTACCTAAGCTAATATATATTTGATGTCTGAAGCTTTTTTCTAAATGGTCTAGTGCAGTTGCGTCAGAGTATAATATTATTGCTAAAACCTTATTGTCAGATAGAATTTGTCATTGTGCACGGTGCCACCACTCACAATTATAAAATTCAGAATATACTCTTTCTTGGTGACCCTAAAAATGGAACAAGTAATATTTAATATTTATTTGATTAACATAATTTTCTTTAATTTTAATAATACTTATGGGAAAATCCTATCTGGTAATTTTCATATTCAAAAATTAATTGACAAAGCTTTTTTTTAAATATATATATATAACTCGATTTTTGCTAATATATATATAGAATTATTGGCTAAACGTATATGTAAGTTATATAAATTTAAAACTTGCATAATCACAATTAAAATCAGGTAAGATGCATATAATAATTATATTTTAAATAATAATGCATATTATTTGCAGCAATTATATCTATATATAATTTTTTTTTGACAAATTTACTTACCTCAATCGATATATAAATCTCTTGGTAATCAAAAACACAGTTTGTTGCGATCTCATTATTTTTTAGAATTTCTTTAACTGCTGAAATTATTGGCTGGTACTCAAATGAATATGTTTGATTATTTATTTTCATAACAGAAGTTGAAAAAAACTCAGTGTGGTTTTTTTTTAATGTATC